GAGAACCTAAAATGAGAAAACAACAAACAAAACCAAAAACTCAACCAAAAGAACCTGTAGATAATATCTCTGACCATGCATGGCTTGGTTTTTAAATTACAATTCACAGAATAACACTGCTGGAAAGCCTATTTTACACTATGCTACACAGAACACGAAAAAACATGAGTAGTGACATTTACACAATTTTACAGTATTTCTCCTTCGTCTAAGAAACACGTCCTTTTCTACTTTACATTTTTTTACAATTCCCAGCTCACAAAAAAAAGGACACTATATGCGCAAAGACAGTCTTTAAAAAGGAGAAATGCACCCAATGCTACAAATAAACCTTTTCTTTCACAGAAGCCTCTGTATTAGATAGTGATTAAACAAAATATATCTCATCTCTATCTGCCACTCAATGTGAAATGGACTAATTAGAAATAATTTTAATTTTTTTTGAGTAAACATAAAACTATACAACATCTCTGAAACTCCTTGAATTACTTGCTATGTAACTATTAAACCACTTGCCAAAAACCTCTTGGGATCACATCTGAAATGCCAGCTGAGCTAGCTGCCACCCCAGTCGAAAAAAAGGAAGGTAGGTAGGCCTTACATGTTGTTCAAGTGTGTGCAAATCATTTTCAACAGTTGCCCATAACCAAGCATTTTCTCTTTAAAAAATGCTTCAGTTTATTTTCTTTCAGAGCCTGTAAGTACCTGGCAGTTCTCCCCGTGGAGAAACATCAACAGCTGTAGTCCTCACAGCTTAGGCAAATGTTTCTTGCATCCCGATGCTGGAAACGCAGAGCCGTCATCCGAACACGGCACAGAGTCAGGCTCTCCACCTACGCACGCACAACCTGCCTCGCAGGTAACGAGGGGAGCGGTACGCATGTGTAGTGAGCGTACAGGAGCGAAAAAGAGAGAGGAATATGCTCGTGCTTCTGTCTGGCATCACGTCCCTGTGCATCCCTTAGATAAAGGCAGGCAGCGTGTGCACCTGCCTACGAGTTGTAGCGGGAGGATAAAGGATGTGGAACTGGTAGGCTGCCGCCTTGTCCCCATTTCATCTCAGTGAAAGCAAAGCATTGTGAAAACAATAACCACACAGCGTACACCCCCCTGAATCCAGACTGCTGACATAAGTCAAGCGGTTTCTAAAGCGTTTTGGATAGACACTCGCTTTTGTTACAGTACCGGGGATGCCGGTGTAGAGCGGATGCCGGACAAAAAGAACCCTTTACTGCACCTACAGTGGCATCGTGCCCCTTAGGTTCGCAGCAGATGTTGCAATCCTCACTTGCGACTTTTCAATGGCTTTTAGCGTTCTCCGGGGTATGTTCAGAGCATAGCACATGGGGGACTTATGGCGCTGTCCTGCTGCATTTTCCAGTACCTTGAGGGGGAATGGAGCACCTTGCAGGAGGCCCTTGCTCTTCAGTCATATCAAGACTCTGACTCCAAATTTCTGTTAAATCGGGGTATGAACTCGTATCTAGATATTCACATGTGACTTTCTATTAAGCTAAAGCCAAAGTCTTGTCTACCTACAAATCTGATGCCTTATTTTGCTGACAGAGTCAATCAGTACAGAGATTTACAATAAAAGGGGGTCAAAAGAGAAAAAGAAATGTATTTTGAAAACTGCTTTTGACACTGTTTCCAGTATTTATTAGAGCAAGAAAGACCCTCATTAAAACACCATTTTTTTGTTGATTTTGGATTATGGACAGGGATCTATCAAACAGAAGGGTCACATGTAGCAGCCAAGGGGCTATAAAACATCTGGAATCCATAAGCCTGGTGCCTGGCCCTACTGAAAGGTGAAGAGTGATGAATTTAATTTTTGTGAGGGATCTTTCACTCTCTATTGTGGCACACAGCATTCCCTGGGGGTGTTTCTTCACCGCAGCCACATAACTGCTACTGAAAGTTATCCCTCAGTTGGGAGCGAGGGAATACAAAGTATTTGTATGCAGTCTGCTTTTAAACACCAAGGGAGATGAAAGGAAATTAGGATAGCTTCCCTTTGGCGGCCATTTCATATGCTAAAGTTTACCTCAGCATCCAAACAGGATGGCATTATGGTGGTAGATGGACAGACAAGTTATTGGCAGCAGATGGGTGCTGAAATGAACACCAGCAGCGACTCAGAGAGCTTGGTGGAGATACAAAACTGTGGGCAATACATTTGCAGCTGACTGGTGCTATGAGAAAGAGAAGAGAGGTAGTTATTATGGCTGCAAGCGTTTAAAAACAGCCTTCATGGATCTCTAAGTGAGAAATGGGAACACGTGTTACTACATGGTGTTTCCAAGACCTTTATATTTGTCACAAAAACAACCCATATCTCACACACATTTTAAAACAACTGTTACAACCTTATGGTGGGTTCTTTTGATGATGGAGGGGTAGGCAGCAACTCAAAACCTGAAGGTTACAACCTGATTAGACAGACAGACAAAGGCATGCAAATATAACCAATTCCTCCATTTCATCTGGAATCCACTAGGTAGATGAAGGGGAAGAAACGTTACTCCCACAGCCAGGATATGCTAGCAGACTCTGGAGAAAATACTGCCACCTTACAGATGAGCACATTGGGCTGCTGGCCATTTTTATCAGGAACCAAAATGGAAATATTTTCTGTAGTTACTGCATTTTTACTCTGCTTGATGATCTTGTAGCAATAAACACTGAGTACAGTGAAATTAATCTGACTGTACACTACTGCATAAACGAGACCAAGTTATCCTTCAGAAAAACTGGTATCGGTTTTACAGGTAGAGAACAGGAACAGAAAAACAAACATAATGGAAAAATAGGCAAGGAAGAATATGCTTCACATGTAAGACACTTGCATCCAGAGAATCTGAAAGAAACTGGGTTTTTTTCCGGAACTTATTCTAACCACATTCCCCATATTTAATTTCCTCCTTGATAAGGAGCATATGAAGTTTTGTACAACTTTTGCACAATTCTTGGAAAATACATATGCCCAACTATTAGTAATTCATCAGCTATGTTATGTTTCAGACACAGATGCTGTACTACGTCTAAATGAAACACAAATTTGTTTCCTGTTAGTGAGTGGTCACCGACAGCCACTTACTTTGCACATTCAGCATATTTTAATTAAAATATTCAGTTTTAAAAACTTGTTTGATTTTCTCCCTCCAATCACATATAGGACTTCTGTCAGCATAAATGCATTTTGTTGCATTTTTGCTTCTTTTATCACTTAGCAAGTATCGCAGTTCAACATAACCATTACATTCAGGGTGTCTTCCTCTTGTTTCAGACTTCAACGACCTCCACAAACCCCCATTACCTTCATTTCTTTGTTCTAAGCATCCTTAAGAGAGATTTTAAAAGTCCATAATGATGAGCAGCACATAAAGATCCACTTTAAAATCCAGATGCTTGTAGGTCTTGCTTATTTTACAGTGAAATTAATTATATGCCACTTCTTTCTATTTCCTAACCAGCTTCCTCCATTCCATAGCTTTCAAATACACAACACATTTTATTAATTACACAACTACTGCCTTCTGCCTACTTGTAAATTGACTTTTTAAACAAGCTGAGGGGAAAACCACATCAAACTCAATGCTGTCCTTAGGAACCTTTGCTCATTAGTGACTTTCAACCCCATGGACTTTGCCATGTGAAGATCCAAGGCATCAGCAGACAAAGAATGAAATGTTACATCAAGAGGGTGGACAGCACAGATAGGATGTTCAACTGCAGATCTCATTGCAGTGTTGTCAGCTACCTGGTTCTCTCATCACTTGGATGCTGTGCTCAATGCGATGTGATGGATGACCGAGGTTTCAAAGGTTTATTGTGTTTGGTTGAACTATCCTGAACAATCTTCAGCGATTATCCTATCCTTAATGAGAGCAGAGTAGAATAACTTGAAGTACCTGACCTAGCTTGGGTGCCAGAAGCAACATAGCTATGGCATTAGGAGCCCAGCATAGACTATTAATTAACCCTACTTTTCAAGTGTGTTTTGCAGCCAAAATTGAACCCTGTTACCATGACTAAACTGCTGCAGTTCCCCAGTTAACTAGATTGAAGGAAGCCTCAGCTGTTACTGCTGTGCTGACACACCGTTAATCTTAGAGGCTAAGGCAATGGAAAGAGATAATCTTGTGCATCCTTGAGGATCAATTGGCCATATACAGACTTTGGCTTAAAAAGTTCCCTTTTATGTTATTGTTGTTTGCGGTTCTCTTCAAAATGCTTCAGCACTGGCTAGGGGGACTGTGTTCAATTCATCTTCACTGCCGTATATGTCCTCCACTTAAAGGCAGATGAGTTGACTAAAGGTTCTTCAAACACACACGCTGAGGGCAGTTATAAAAGTCAGTTATAAAACAGCGAGATGAGGGAAAACGTACTGGAGTGTTCACTGTGGTACCCTCTCCACTTGCATCAAGGATAATCACAAAAAAGAGTAAAGAACAGCAAAAACACAGCAGGCTTTTAGCAGGGCCATTTCATATTCAGATCCATTAATTTGAAATAAAATCACCACCACATTATCTTGCAGCAGAGAAAAGCAGCATGAAGGGCACAGGCAAGTGAACAAAACTTCTTGATCTTAGCATCTGAATGCATTTATCGAGTATGTAAAATTGTCGGCATAGATCTCTTTGAAACTGTACAAATGCACAGTACAGCCATAGCTCAACAAGAGGGAGGTATTCGGTGTCGTCTCCTCTGTGTGCATGCTGCTATGTACAGTATGAGTGTGTATTAATACATACGAATTCAGGATCCTAAACTTTCCACTTGTATTGCAGGCCATCTCCTGCCCCACAGGGTGAATCCCACTGAATGACACTGAGTTCCTACAAAAAGACATTCTTTTCCTCCTGTCCAGGTGGAACAGTAAGGCCCCAGAGTGAAAATCATGGTCCAGCTCTCTTCAGCAAGAGGATGATTTCACACCATGACTGTATGTGAATAGATACACGCACACATGTCCACACATTCATTCTGTACATATACAAAGGTACACATACATTTTTACATTCTTTGGTGGCAAAATAATAAGAAAACCCCAACAAACCACAGGGTTGCACAGACTGTGCATCTTTGCTTAATAAATCTGCTTCAGGAAAATCGGGGTGGTTGTAACAGGAGTTATTTTGCCTCTTTAAGGACTGTTCCTTGCATTGACAAAATGCCATACATTTACAATGACTAAAACAGGGCACAAGGAAAGCCAGCGTAAACACAGCTCGCGTAATGACAGATAACTCAGAGAGAGCCCCCTCCTACCCACATCAACACACCATGAGAAGAAGCAGACATATGCTTTCACCTACAAGCACTCAAACACTTCCTCAGTTACTGTCCAGATGTTGTGCTGAGCTGTGGCACACCCTTCTTCTGCCCTGGCTGTGGGGTTTTGCTTTTTGTTGCTTATTAAAATCGAACGAACAGAGGACAGGATGTTGGGAGCAGCAGAGGAGGCTGGCAGGTCAATGCCACACCGAAGGGTTCTCAGCCTGTGTGCTTCAGATGAACGGCTCTTCTTGTCGCCACCTCTGGGACATCAAACCTGCATCTCAGAGGTGCTGATGAGGCCCAGTGCTTTGGCTTCTTCTGGTGTCAGTCCGCTCTTTAGTGTCCTTCTCACTGGATAGTCATGAATTCCAAAAGCAGGGGAAAAAAAAAAACCAAAGAAAGAAAATGCAAACAATTAGAAGCGATAATTACACAAGACTTTCAGCTGAAAAAAACCCCTGCTAACATGCAAGCTGGGTCAAATCAAAAGTTGCTGTACTCATGGCCTCAAGTTCAGGAATACTGAGTAATGCCCTATGCCAAATTCATGGGAGCATCAAGTATTCAGCAACTCCAAACAGTCAGGCAAAAAGACATTTGTCATTTGACGTTTAGTCAACAAAAACTTTTAAGGAAAATACCACAGCATTTTAAGATTTTTTTTCTCTGAAATTATCAGTTGATTTTCAGTCCATAGAAAGTATCATCTGCCCTATTATTTTATAGTTTCTTAACGATTTTTTTAAAAGAGCTTTTGGATCTTTATAGGGCTCAATTGAATTTATCACTGTTAAATCCTATGTGACCCTTTAAAGGTGTAAAATAAACAACCCCAAAGGTTAAAGATTAAAAATGTGACTACTTTATAGTCAATTCAAATCATTAAAACTACTGTCTTCATACACGCTCCCCTTTGTCCTGTAATGTTCCCCCGTCCTAGCCCCACCTGCATCATCTTTGCCATTAGTAGTCTGCAGCGTTTTAGGTGAATTTAAATGATATATCTAGGCCAAAATCTTGTTTCTTAATTTTCTATTAAGTGTTCTGGACACTAGCCCCAACATAAAACTTTTAAAATTTCTGATTGCCTTTTTAATTCAGAAACAAGTGACTACGTGACTGCAAACACTGAGCATTAGTGTCCTCCTAGTTTTATTGGTGCCATGATTTTCAGGTGAATGGGCTTTAGTTCAAGACACAAATGGGGTATTCACTCCACACGTTGATGTTCCTCAAATACAAAATGCACATTCAGAAGTTTAAGCTGCATGCAAAGCATAAACAATGACTTTGTGTTGAACAAAATATATTCATCTAATAATGAAGTCTAGAGGAAACTCTTAGAGAAACCAATTGCAAACAGTGGCTAAGGACTTCTTGCATCAGTATCATCTAGCACAATTAAGACCTCTAACTTACTGAGATATTCAGTCCATGTAACTGAAACTGGGTGGTCACACTCAGGGGTCTAGCAGGAGTGAGAGGAGGGAATGGATCGGTATAGAAAATAAGAGGATAAGAGAAAGGGAAAATATGACGCAGTTGAACATTTGATACCATGCAGGTAGAACGAATGTGATCTATGTTTGATAGTCAAACCGCTTTCATCAGTTATTGAGGTTAATCAAATGAGCTGGGAGTGCCACATGTGTAATTGTTCCTCCATTACTGAACCCCTACTTGAAAGTTTTTCTTCAAGGCTCACTCCTTTCTCCTACAGTATTTGCATACTTATTAAACACCACTAGGAGTCTACACGGCAGCCTTTTATGATATCAATTTTTTCCTACAATACTGATCAGCAGCATCTTCCAAGTTGAACAATGCTTAGCTTAAAGCAGTACAAGGTTAAATGCAACTGATAAAGCTAAGATTAAGAAAGACTAAAAAGGTGCTACCAGAAGAGCAATACACTTCAAAAAATGCTCTGGTCTCCATGGTGCAGAATACCCAACATGAACTTTTGAGTCAGTCCTCATCACTGGCACCCTTTTATACTCCTCAAATTTGATATCCAAATGTCCACAGTGACAAATGTTAATTTCTAGACACGAGCTATGAAATACCTTAGGGTTTTAAGGTCTCAGTGAATCACCCAATGCTTATTTCTGTATCAAAATTAACTGTATCAGGAGTGAAAGAAAAAATCCAAGAAAGCTGCAGGAGAAACATTTCTGTCTTATTAAAAGCGAAGATTTCCCTGTGCAGTTCACCCACTTAGCTGCCTGCCTGTCTCCTGAACATGTTTTTTTCTGTACCCTCTAAAACATGCAGCCAAATGCAGACCATAGCTAGCTTGGCCACCGGATAGTAGAGTTATGTTAAAAAATATGCGTACAGGAGACCGAACTTTCACAGGATGACTGTCTAGATGACAATACATCTTCCACCTAAAGCCAAAAGTGAACTGGAAAGCCAAATGCAGAACAAATTTCCACATTATAGACACTTTTGTGGAAGCGTCAAACCAAACATTTTCATGAGTGCTCTCACACATATCCCCAGCTCTCTCAGACCACAATCACTTACACGCATTTGCAAACTGAGCACAATAACCACTGTAAAACAAAGCTATTTTTCTTGTCAGATGGCAAGACAGGAAGAGTAAGGGAACAAACAATCGTTATTCCTGTTTGTGAACATTTAATAGGAACTGAGGTGCTCTGCTAACGCTGGTCATGTACGGGAATAAGCAAAATTCTGGTCTTATTTATAACAATGTAAATCTGGAATAACCTTCTTTAGGTCAGTACAATTACTACCGCACAAATAACTGGGCTGAAACTTTAACAACTGAAAGGGAAATGTGTGCCTCTAACTTCGACCAAGCAGAATACAGTTGTTTAAATTCCTCCATCGGCCTGAGTGACAGGATTACTAGTTTACTAGGAAAAGCCAAATGGATTTACAATAACATACAGGTCTCTTTGAAGAAAATTACAGGAGTTTATATTCAGAAGTCATAATCAGGAGTTAAAATACCATGGTAGAAAGCATCTTCATGGAAAAACAAGGAAGAAAACTAAGGAAGAAAACTAAGGAGTCTTCTTTACATAAACAAGATTTCTCTCTGAATCTCCAGATGCCTACCTATCAAACTTACTAAAGTCTTAGTCTGAGGACCTTGTGTATTAACCCTTGGATGACTGCAAAAAAGAAATACTGTATGCAGCATGTGACAAGGACAAGTGCCCTGTTCTGGGTTTGCTGTATGACTCACACAAAGGAGGCCAACCCCGGGTTTGTGCTTTTTGTGCCACTACAAAACAAGTAGGAATGACAATACTGCATGATTTCCTGCAACATACGCAGCTGTAATTAAACAAAACAGTCTCTCTGCATCCCTCAGCTGATTGTTCTAACTTATCTCAGCTCTCCTATACTACACAGAAAGGTAACTTGGATTTAATATATTCCAGTGACCTAACCTTTTAAGGCCAGCAGTTAGGAGAGGAGAGCTCCAAACAATGTAGGACTTTGGCAGCTCTAATGAGATTGTCAAGAAAATAGTTAATAAAGAGCAAAGATGTGAAGAATCTTTTCAGTGACAGAATGGTTCCCATAAACACTGACAGCTGCTGACTTGTATAAACTAAGCGTGTGGGGCCAAATACTGCAAAGCACTGTGACTACTGGCAAGATTAAAGCTGTCCACTATCAACAGGCAACCGGAAGGATAACAGTGGACAGAATCACGGTCCAGACTCAAATGGGTGAATTCTTGCCCCTACAATGCAACAGGCCAGTCTGACACAGATGAATCCACTTGTAGTTTGAAGTATTTTGTACTTAGGGAGATGGAAGTGGCCTGATAAAGGCTCTCTTTATATAAAAATTATCCCTAGTAAGTGCAAATTATTCACAGTACTTTTCCTCATCTGAAGATACAGTGGAGGGATGCAGTTAGCAGCAGTAACACAAGAACAAGTTCCAGCCCCACTATTCTCTGCACTGGCTTGTGGACGAGGGCGGCTTGAGGGTGACGAAGCCAGGAGACAGTTGTGTCATCTACAGGAGCAGGGACTCCTCTGGGAGGTGGGTGAACCTTGTCTTGACATACTGTTAAACAGATGTCCTCAGACATTTGTCTGTTTCCTCATAAAGTGCTTGGTAGGGTTCCTCTACCTTAGGAAAGGTCATGAACACATTCAGTCATCAAAATTGAATGCAGAGAGATATTTTCCTTCCATGTTTTATAGGCATTGCAAAATTACATTTTTCAAACTAGATCTTCACTCTCCCCTCTTCACTGAACTCTGTCGTGTCTCTAACTGGACTAGACATAATATCTTGGCTTGTAAAACTCTTGGCCTGCTGCAGATCACATTAAACTGGGTTATGGAATGTATTTTGGAGGCAGTGACAATAAAAATAAGACTTTAAAATGACCTTTTAGGTTCTTTAAGCAATTTTTAAAACATTTGCTAAAGAAACATAACATAGCGAGAAAATAACTTTTACTCTTGTCACAAGCAAGGCCTGCTGAGATCCCATAACCAAGAAACTAAATGTTGTTTTTCTGGGGTCAGAGAGTATGATATTTTTTGTTAATCGGGAAATCTAGAATTTTATTTGATATCCTGGCAGAATGCAATGTGCTTATGATGAACTCAATGAATTTGACTCTGCCTGTTGGGTCAAAATCTACACAGATACATAGCCCTCACAGTACACTGGGAATGTTTTAAAAAAGAGTAACTCCCTAAGTGAAGCTTTGTCAGAGAATATAATTATCTAGGGTTTGGTTGTTTTTTAAAAGAGCAAATAGCATGCTAATTTCCCCTCCCGCTACCTTTTTTTCTTTTTTAAAGATGCAACGAACAGAAAAGACCAGTCTGGCTGGCGCCATTTATTCTTGCATTTGCAATGGCTTTTGGCAGGTATGTCTACACTTGTATGGATGAGTCACTTGAAATGCAGAATAGATGTTACCATTCTCCTGCTCAGGAAGTCACAGAATTAGTGTTATTCCTATTGCAGAGTTGTGGCAGCCACAGAACTTTCTTTTGGCCCCAGCTGCAAAGGTAATGCAGCTGCTAGTTGCTGATTTGGAATGAAGAAAATTCCAGGTGGCTATAAATTACACAGTGAGGACAGCAGGAAGGGCAGATTATAAGAGGCAATACAGGCCAGCTCCATCATTTCATTTCATGTATCTTAGTTTTATTTTCTGTTACCTATCTACACCCAGCTTGCACACTCAGTCTATTTTCTCACGTATTTACATTGACCATATTCTCTTGGGCTTTACTCCAATGAGTCCAGCAATGGCAACTGGCAATGCAGAAGTTCAATCCAGACAGTCTTGCTCATATTCTCATATTTTAATCCTCTTCTGCATTTGTGTATCT